GGTCTTTGTTTTATAATTTAGAACTATTTAAACGGTGTAACAACAAATCTTTTACAAAAACCAATATTTCAAACTAGACAAGTGATATATAGATAATCTTTTATATAATTTTTATATGTCATTAAATGAATTAATACATTCAATATTATAAATCTCGAATGAATAAAAAGAGCAAATTGTTATTCTTGATTTCGATTATTTGAAAACCAAATGTGAATTAGAATATTTACTTGATTTATTCCTAGTGATATTAAGTTGATTCTCAAATATTGTGTTTTGAATATGTTTCCTTTTCAATAGAACCCTATTTCATTGTGTGATTATCTATTCAATATATTTCCTTTTGTTATGAGTAGCAAAAACATAAATTATATTATAAAGTTGAGGTTCCAACCCCTACCAGAGGGTCCAGAACCCATGATAATTCTGTTTTTGCACAATAGTGCAAGAAATCGCTCAGGTTCCAACTCCTTATGCTAAAAATTTTGAATAACTTACCATACTAGGACAGTATTATTTTCAATCATGCTCCAATAGTCATAATCCTTTGATTGAGCAATTTTAAGGCATATATATATATATCATACCTTGAAGTAGAAAAGAACGCAAGTAGAAGAAGAAGAGTTTTCAACCTTAGAAACAAAGAGAGATCGAGTTTCCACTTTTGTTCTTTGAGAAATTACTTATTTTCTACGATTATTCTTGTTCTCTTTCATTGTAACAAGTGAGAGGGATTGGGGAAAGTTTGTTAGATCTAATAATCCATCCTTGAGATATATGAAGGGTTGAGAGATTTGTGATAAGAGGATTGAACGGTTTAATAGTACCCATAAGCTATTGAAAAACTAATTGGGTAACCTTATTAAATCTAGAGAAAACCAACCTTGTGGTATAGGATTGGATTTGTGAGAGATTGTAACAAGTGATTGAATTGTTCAAGGTGAATAGTACCAACAAAACTATTACAAACGATTGCCTTTACACCTAAAAGTTGAAGGAGAGTTTTTAAATCCAAAGTGAACTCTCAAGTAGGCGGCTTGAAGAGTGAATTAGGCACAAATTGTGAACGAACCACTATAAATTCTTGTATTTGAACCTGTTTTTTCCTTAACTTTTAATTTCTGCACTTTAAATTGGTTGTTTGCAATTACTTGTGCTTACTCATTGTTTTGTTTTTTGAAAACCCAAATCATCTGCCTCTTGGGTTGCTATCATTTGAGTCAACATAAATCATTTAAACGACATATAAAATTATATCAAAATATAAAATAAAAAAAATTATTTCTAAATCATTTTCCTTTCATATCATCTAGTTAAATTGACAACTAGAAAAAACCATCAATTTGGATTTGAAAGGTGTGTTTGGTTTGAAGAAAATAATAAATTTTTTAATTAATCAAATTATGAAAAAAAAAAAAAACATTACAATTTAATTAATTAAAAAATTCAACCATCTTTTTCATTTCTCACACACCGAACATATTGAAAATGTTAATTGTACTATTATTCATGGATTTTCAGGTAGAACTGCATTGCAGTGAAATCAGTAAATCAGTAGCGTATGTCTTTGAGCGTGTTCGGAACCGTGACCTGGAGAAATCGAAATCTTATGTAACATACCATTCTAACCGAATGGTGTCAATTTAACAAGTCTAACAAGCATCAGTAAAAGCTGCAAAGTCATACTCATACTGGCCTGGTCAAAAC